AGCCTGTGAAAGACTTGTAAAAATTATATACTACTAAATAAAATAGTCCCTACTCTAAATTTATCTAAATAGTATATAAAAGCTCAAAACCAGTAGAAAAATACTTCTTTGACCTTAATCGTAGGGGTTGGTACTTGATCCTAGTCTCGGAGTATTGTTTATCAGCTTGTTATATTCGAGGCACATTCTTTGACATGTTTGTTGTCCTGTTGTACTGATTTAGGAAGTAAACAATATGATTGTTTTGGTGCACATGATATTGATCTTTTGAAGAAGGTAAACTAAAACGCCCACTTTTTACAAAAAATCCTCGAAAAAAAGTGGTAGGTCAACGAGAGTGTGTAAAGTTTTTCTTGTAAGAGTTACAGTTGTATAGTCCAGTTTCTCAGTTTCTACTTAGTATTCCTGTCCAGAGACCCACAGTGATATTGCTCCCAAAATATCCTTTTGGTTTGGATATCGAAAGTGCAAAAGAGTCTACTAAAAGCTTGATCTAAAAGCACAGCCCACTTGTTGTTTATATACCTGCTCCTTGGTGTTTTACAAATATAAAGTTTCATCAATAGCAAGTATGTTTGTATAGTACTAGGAATATTTGGATATCTATTTTGTTGCTTTTTATATCATTTTTTTGTAGTTTTGTTTATTTTGTTGTTGACCAAGAGATCGTCAGAAAGAGTTGCATTTTGTTAGTAGATTTTTTCTCTATATCTTAATACTAGCTCAAATATTATTATCTAAAGTAATCTATCAACTTAGATATTATTACAAATTCAATCTTCTTTTTAGTGACTATTTTGTTGTTAAACTATTACTTTTGACTAATCCTAAACAGTTTAAAATACAGAACAGATATACTTATTCTATTACACAAAATAATATTGCTAAAGTATTCATTAAAAAGTTTCACAATGCTATAAAATATATTATTCTCTCTCTAATAATATTATGCAAACTAATTTTATAACTAAGTACATCTACCTACTAATAAGGAGGTCTCTGTATAATACAATATTATTATACTAATTACTACTTTATAACAACTTATATAAACAGTAAGACCGCTATAACAATATTATTATTTTATTTATCTGTTTGCGAGTGGGTTAATATATCCACACCAAATACAACTATAATGATTAATTTAAACTTGGAAACTAGTAAAACTTTTAACAGTAGTAATATATAGCTAGTCAAAAAATCTTTACTACTACTGCCTGATAATATTTTAGAAGTTAATTTTATTTTAAAAAATCACAAACTTACTATAATATTGCTAATTAGTAAAAAAGCTAAAGTTATATCTACAATAGAAATACTATGACAATATTTTAATATTAAAACAATTTCAGATTATCTACTCAATTTACTTTCACTATCAACTCCTATATGGAATTCTTTTAATACAAACAGCCAATTCTACTTATCAACTATTAGCAAACAATATAGCTATAAATACTGAATAACTAAACTATACAAAATAATAACAGTATACAAGATATAACTAATGCATTACAAAAACTTTTAATCATCACTACCTACAATATTTAAGGTTTTAACCAAATTATATAGTAACAACTTTGTTTAGGCTTAACAATTAGATATTATATTGATTACCAAAACAAAACTAGCATATTTCTAATATATTAATTTGTAGTTATACAATGTATACTATAAGTGCTTTATCTCTAACAATAGCCAAACTATACTACAACATTTTCAGAAAGCCAGCATAGATGTAGCTATTTTTATATCTCAAATACTTGCTCTTTATATTTAAAATATCCAAATACTCTATAGTATAGTAATTCTAATTGATTTATTCTTCCTATACAACAACAGATTCTATATTATCTTAGTTTATTTTTCAATATATACTTTAATTAATATTTAGATATCTCTCAACACATATTTCAATTAATATTAAAATACAAGATCAAATCATCTAATAGAAAATACAAGCCCTTTAAGCACAAACTGCATCTATTTTTATAGGAAACTTTAATTAGGATTTAAACAAGCTATACAAATTAGTACTTTATAACTATCTATTAAATCACAATTATATACTATTAGTATACATTTACTATCCATCTGCACTCATATAGCAGAAAACTAATTTATCTAGCCAAATAGATAAAATATAGATTCTACACCAGATCCTATATATTACAACACAATCTATTTAGTATTAGCTACTAGCATTATCAATAGTAACTACTGTATAATCTTTACTAATATACAATATAACTTTATTTTATCTTCATAATGCAAAAAATACAAGTTTAAAATATACAAATATGATATAATGACTACTGACAGACAGCTAGAACAAATTTTAGCAGACAATATACAATCTTATTTCATTACTAACAAAGAAAACTATACAAGTACTTTCAATAGACCAACTCTGGTATTATATTAGAATGCTATAACCAAAGCAGCCAAATCGTATATACCTTTTATATTTAAATATCAAAAATAATTCAAAATATTTTCTGTTATAGCAACAACATTTTATATAGTTCTAAGCTTATATAGTAGTATCTTACAAAAAACTGGTAAATATACAAGTCTAATCAAATAAAAAATTAGAAGATCTTTAGCAAACTATCAGTACTATTAATTACAAATTGCAAATAATATAACAACTTATAAACTATTATACAATAGTATTCACAATATATAATATTAGTAGTTAACAAATTGAGCCAACTGTTAATATTTTTAAAATACTCAGAAAAACTTTGTACTATACAAGAGAAATAGATAACAAACAAGTACTTAACCAATATATTAATACTCAAATACAAAAGCATAAGAATCTATTATATAAGGAGTATCAGAGTAGATAAACACTAAGAGATAAACATACAGGATAAACACTATAAGACAAACATAAATTTTGATTGGCCGATACTATTATAGTAAGTTTTGTATTACACATCATGATAAACAAACATTATAAGATAAACAAAAGGAGATAAACTATAAAAATTATATTATAGTATTAGACAAATACTATTTATCGTATAAACAAAAAAATATTCCTTATTGAAGTTAAATATGTAATACTTGATATTTTATAGTTCATTGTTTGCCATACTCTTTATATCACATGCTGTTAATTTTTATTTCAAATTTACTATGCGAATATCGCACAAATTGGAAACTTTTCTGTGTAGCAAAACTATAAGCAACTTTTTAAAAGTGTGTGCACTACTTAAAAATATCAATTTTTTTTCTATATGGCATCTGCGCATCTGTTCAAAAGAAAATATGTTCAGACTTTTGTTTCTGTGTTCTGCGCACAGTCTGCACAGCAAAAAATAATTACTGATCACGTGTATAATTAGTTAATTAGTAGCATAAACTACAAAATTAACTATAAGCTTCTTTGAAATATTTCTATTTGCAAACAAAATTTCAGAAATTTAGGTAAATTTTATTGATATGGTCTAAACACATATCAAGTGCTATTTTTTTGTTAATACCTTAAAGCTATTTGAATATAGTATAGTAGGTACGAATTTCTAAACTGAAATGGCACCTTAGTGAAATTATTTTGTGTTAAGCATTATTTGCTTGAAATAGAATCAGAATATAACATAGTACAAGAAAAGCAACATTATCCACAAAGCTTATGACCACTACTTTTGTTAAAATTAAAGAAATAAACTCTATATTTATGACAATCTTTAGCCCACATTCACTTTATAAATGTTGATAAGTAAAAATTTCAGTTTCTCTTATATTTTTTCCTACCAGTATATAACTAAATAGCCTTGATATAGTGGCCAGTATATAAATTTTTGCATTCATATATTTATTTTCTTATCTGATTTATGATCTGCAATCTTGGGAGTAATCTTACTCTGTATCACAATAAAAATTTCACCTGCAAAAAATTTCTTTAAGTTCGTTTATTTTAGGGTTAGTGCCAGATTAACAGTAGAAATTAGCTGATTATATAGTAAAATTGCATAAGGAAAACTTTTTGTTACTACATGAAAGTAGTTTTTATGCAAATTCTCAAGAAATAATCAATTTTCACCAAAAGATGTGTTTTGCATTCTCATAAACCATATTAAATTACACTAAATCTTGATCTTTTATTGGCCAATATTCACATTACCAAAGATTTTATCATAATACTGGGGTAAATAACCCTAGCATAAATTGTCATATGCATACATGAATTCATTTTTTTAATAACTTACATGACATAAAATAATTTCTAACAGGATTTTTTGACATTGCTTTTCTATATATAATGTAAACTTCTTCTTATTTATGCGCCTTTCAAATAAGTTTGCAGTACTATTAATTTCATTATTAAATTTTAAAACTAACTAATAATACTTCAATATAAATCAAAGATCTATAGCTTAACAGCAATGACGTGCGCATAAATGTGAAATGCAATTACTTGTGACCAAACAAAATAAGAGAAATAGCTCAACAAGAAAGAAGACAATGTAAAAAATTGGAGAATGCAGTAAACCAAAAAGCTGTTTCTCAACACGAGATAGAACTTGATCAAAGACAGATACAGGATGTAGGTGAGAATTTCCAAATCACGTGATTAATCGATCTTCAGACTAGATTACACAGATCTTTACCCTTACTAACAGATCGGCCAATCAGATAAGTTTTTAATAATTTTTTTTTTTAGATTAGATCTTTATATTTACTACTGCTTCTCTGTTGGAGTCGCTGTTTTCTTCGTCTTGGTGCAGTTTTTTTTTTCTTATATATTTGCTTCTTTTCTTTTGGATGTAGTATTATTTTTTTATTTTACTGCTGTTTCTCTTTCTTCCGGGTGTGAATTTGCCGTTGAAGCCATTGTTACTGGAGATTTCAGGTAAGTTTTTCGTCTTGTTGTCAAATTTTTTTATTTTTTTATATTTACTACTGCCTCTCTTTTTTCTGGGTTTGATTTCGCTATTAGAGTCACCGTTTTCTTTGTCTTGGGGGTAGTTTTTTTTCCTTATATATTTGCTTCTCTTTCGGGTGTAGTGTCATTTTTTTATTTTACTGCTGTTTCTCTTTCTTCCAGGTGTGAATTCGCCATTGGAGCCGTCATTACTGGAGATTTGGGTAAGTTTTTCATCTTGGTGTCGATTTCTTTTTTTTTTTTATATATTTACTACTGCTTCTCTTTCTTCTGGGTTTGATTTTGCCGTTGGAGTCACCGTTTTCTTCATCTTGGAGTAGCCGTTTTTTTTGTCTTGGGGGCAGTGTTTTTTTTCCTTATAATTTGCTTCTCTTTCAGATGTGTTATTTTTTTATTTTACTGCTGTTTTTCTTTCTTCTGGATGTGAATTCGCTATTAGAGCTATCGTTACTGGAGATTTGGGTAAGTTTTTCATCTTGGTGTCGATTTCTTTTTTTTTTTTTTATATTTACTACTGTTCTCTTTCTTCTGGGTTTGATTTCGCCGTTGGAGTCGCCATTTTTTTCATCTTGGGTGCGGTTTTTTTTTTTCTTATATATT